CCGGCCCCCGTCGCCGGTGACCCACTTAGGCTGTCCCTGTGGGCCGCTGCTGCCTCCCGCGCCTGGCAGCCGCCCCGAGTGTGCCCGTGAGAGCCCCTGTCGTGTCTTCCCTCCCTGGTTGCCAGGGAACATCGTGGGGTAGGGCTGGGAGTACCAGAGAGACGCTCTCCGCAGTGCGTGGATGCCAACTGGGAATAACTTTCTTTCACGCATTTTTGGTAATTTTAGGTTTGTTGATCATTCACAGACTCCCTGATCTCCATCCTATTTCTAACTGTGAGTTTAAGGGTTGTCTAGTGCAACCAAGAGCTCTCGTTTCAGCTCAGTAGAGCTGCATGCTGTCAGGGAGTGAATTGTGCCCGCTGGTGTCTCTCTCTGCTCCCAGGCTGACAGAATCGGGCCTTTCTATGGTTGACTGGCACCTGGTGAAAGAGATGAAACCCCCAAGAACGCAGCAGGAGTGGGAAGCTGAGTTCCAGAAGTACCAGCAGTTCCCGGAGTTTAAAATGTGAGTGTGCAAAAGTGGAAGGCGGGTGGGCTGGGAGCATCCCTCCTGCGACTGAGCAACACAAGGAAGGGAAATGTTTCCTAACATCACTGGGAAGGCACACGAAGCGTGTCTAATGGTGGCTCCTTCTCTGTCACTTCCTTTCTCTGAGGAAGATGATCGCTTGTCATGGGAACTAGGACTGCCACATCACACTGAGCGGTTCTTTGTTTTACTGTCTTTAACAGCCTGAATCATGACATGACGCTGACAGAGTTCAAGTTCATTTGGTACATGGAGTATTCACACCGTATGTGGGGCCGCGTTGTGGGTTTGGCCTACATTCTGCCCGCCGCCTACTTCTGGCGAAAGGGCTGGCTCAGCCACCCCATGAAGGGCTGCGTTCTTGCGCTCTGCGGGCTGGTGTGCTTCCAGGTGAGCGAGCTCTGTAGCCGCAGGGATTAGCGGCAGCATCTCCTGTTGAGTGTGGTTGAGACAGTGGGATTTGTGAAAGCCTGGGGGGGTGTCAGTGCTAGTAGCTGGTTGAAGGTGGAGGAAACAAGTTGCTTTACCCTAATGTTTATCTGGTCTTAGCAGTCGCTGCTGCCCTGTTGGTGCTGAGACAGACATGAAGGGTTATTCACTGACCCCTCTTTCTGATGAAGGGCAGTATAGTGGTGTAGGGGAGCTGGCTCTGATGCCTCTCTGGTTTTTGCCAGGGACTGCTGGGATGGTACATGGTGAAGAGCGGGCTGGAAGAGAAGCCAGACTCTTACGACATTCCCCGGGTCAGTCAGTACCGTCTCGCAGCACATCTTGGCTCTGCGCTGGTTCTGTACTCTGCTAGCCTGTGGACCGGGCTGTCTTTGCTGCTTCCACAACACAAGGTACGGAGTGGCGTGTCAGGAGTCAAAAGTGCAGGTCGTGTCAATTCAGAGGGTTGGGGGTGGGATGTGAAGGGTGAGGAAAGGGTGTGAAGGGTGATGGTGCTTCCATTTTAGTCTCTGTTCCTGACTCTGATCTAATCCTGCGTTACAAAATACCCTTTCTGTAAACTTCTCAGGTATGGGACGCTTCCTTTGACTCGTGCTGTTCCACTCAAAAGTTCTTAGCCTCAGATTCATGCAAGCTCAGGCAGGGGTGTGCCTGGCCGGGCTAAATGATTTGTGCCAGTAACTGTCCAGTGGCCACTTCAGTGTCTGCACAGGGTTGGACCCAATTAGTTGTAGTTTTGAGGAACCACTGAAGTGTGACTGTGCTGTGTGGTGGTCTCTAGATTCCTCCTGTAAAACACAGGCCAACCCCTTGGTCCGTATATGCAGTGAAGGCTTTTCTTACCTGCTGCAAACAGCACTGGAAATGCTTTGCCTTGATTATTTTCTTTTTCTTTTTTTTTTTTAATTTACAGTTGCCTGAGACCCATCGGCTCCTTCGCCTGAGACAATTTGCTCATGGCACTACAGCTCTCATTTTTCTTACTGCTCTTTCAGGTAAGAGTGTTTCTTACTGCTGTCCCATCTGCGGCTCATTCCTCCCTGCCTTGTTTTTCTTCCTCGTCTGGCGGGGACTGTGAGGAACCCCATCATGTTTTCTGGGAAAATGTTATTGCTGTCAGGGAGCTGACAGTCAAGAACCTCCCTTACTGGTCTTTCCTGAGCAGGTGGAGGTGCACCTTCCAGCCTGCCTGTTGCTGTGTGATCTCTGTACGTGTTTCTGAAAGAAATTCAGGATCCAGCTGAGCTCTTGAGTCAGAGCTGTGCAGCCTGGAATGCCACCTTTGCCTACTCTGGTAGTCTCATTTTCTGCTCTGGAATTGCAGGTGCCTTTGTGGCAGGGCTGGATGCTGGCCTTGTGTACAATTCCTTCCCCAAAATGGGGGAGCGCTGGATCCCGGATGATCTCCTTGCCTTCTCCCCCATGCTGAGAAATATCTTTGAGAATCCTACAACGGTACAGTTTGATCACAGGATCTTGGTAAGTGCCGTCTTCCTGCTATGTCTGTGCTGCTTCTCGGTAGCCTCCTGCAGCCAAGCTGTCCTCTTTGGGCTGTCGTTCTGTCAGCTTGAGTGATATCCAGGGTGTCCGAAGGTCCTGAGAGCGTGTTACCAATTCGCTTCTGCAGAAAGAGGAAGTTTAGCACTCTTATTTATTTTCAGCGTGGTCTCCTTCCTCCTGCGCAAGTTACAGACTTTGTTCCTTTGTGTCTCCTTTTCCGTAACGTGAGCTACAGACCAGGGGAGCCCTTGCTACTGAAATGTCTGGGAACGTTGTGTGAAGTAAAACTTGGAAATCCTGATATCGAATACTTCCTTCGGCATTTCTGAACTTGCTTTACACCAGTAGCACCGTGTGAAAATAGCTAGTTAGAGCAAGCCAGATATTAAATACCACTGCCAGCACTGCTGTGGACTAAGCCATCACTAAGCCTAAAAAGAAAGATTGAGTGACTTGGAAGAGGAGTCACCTGGGGTGATCTGCATGGCAAGGTTATGGTGGTGAACCACAGCTGAGTGGTGAAAATGAGATTAGTTCTCTGGATAACAGCTTCCACCTTTAGTTGTCAAGGTGGGGAGAGGGCAGAAATAATCCCTAATGACTTGAAGAAATGAGGAAAAGCTGTCAGAAAATAAAGCATTAATTTGGAGAAAAATCAAAGTCTCTGTAACTTCAGTTAAATTTCAGGGTTGTTAACCTGGTGGGCGTGGGAGCTCCGGGATTTGGTCGTGGCCTTTAACATGTTTCTACAGTTAAATACTGCTCACAGAATTTCTCTTTCTGCTTGGAAGGCGCAGCCAAAGGCCACTGCACCCATTTCCTCTGAACTCTTCTTGAAGGGTGGTTGTTTCTCTTCCCTTCTGTAGGGAATCGCCTCAGTCACGGCTGTCACAGCGCTGTACCTCTTCTCGCGGAAGATCCCACTCCCTCGCAGGACCAGGGTGGCAGTGACTTCCTTATTGGCTGTGGCTTGCATGCAGGTACGGTGGTGGTTCCCCCC